ACACAGACTCGCAATGATCCCTAACTCATCAGTGTGTGTCCTTGTCTGTCTATTGTTGGTAAAGTTTAATTGCTGTGACACACAACCAGCGAGAGACACACAACCAGCGAGAGACACACAACCATGACAGACACACAACCATGACAGACACACAACCATGACAGACACACAACCATGAGAGACACACAACCATGACAGACACACAACCATGGGAGACACACACTCCTCCAGTGTGACACTGTGGCCGTGGGTTCGGTGCAGCGTGACCTCTGATCACTTACACAAAAGATTACGAAACTTTAGCCTCCATCAAACTCACAACCTGTGGCTCGCACACCTGAGACACACAACTGCACAACCTGTCGACACACAAACACACACTGCACCTTGTTCAGCGTCTCTGTTTTCTTTTTAACGCTGAGTCACACTAAGAGTCTGAATCTCTTCACGGTGTCTGAACCTTAAACGGACTCCTGCAGAAGTTTAAAGACACTTTGAAGCGTTTGTGATTTCAGATTCAACATTTGTGATTTCAGATTCAGCGTTTGTGATTTCAGATTCAACATTTGTGATTTCAGATTCAGCGTTTGTGATTTCAGATTCAACATTTGTGATTTCAGACTCAGCCTTTGTGTTGCTGTGAAGCTGCTGACAACACAACAGGTGATGAAGCGTTTTCAGCGAATCAGCAGTTTGTGGTTTTCATGCTTGGGATCAGCCGGAGGAACAAACGTTCACATGACCAGCAGCAGCTGACGACAAACACACGAGCACACAAACCGCCTGTTCCCGCGGCCCCAGACGCACCTGGGCCGGGGGGCGGAGCCTCATCCTACCTGTGATGAAGACGGCCTTCCCGTGGGCGGGCAGGTTGGCGGGCGGCGGGCCGGTCCGGGCCGAGTAGAGGCAGCAGGCGAAACCGAGCAGTGCCAACAGCAGCACGGCCGGCAGGCAGAATGCCCAGAGCCGCTCCACCAGAACCGTGGCTCCGAGCCAGGCCACCAGGGTCGGCGCCGTGCTCAGGTGGGATGCCACGATCTTCTTCATGGCACCACCCACAAACACGGTCAGAACGCCCAGGTAAATCCAGAAGGGAAGAGTGTAGTCGTCCATCATCAGAGGAGAGAGCTGTGTCACCTGAGTCCAACTGAGTCCTCCTGAGTCCACCTGAGTCCACCTGAGTCCTCCTGAGTCCTCCTGAGTCCTCCTGAGTCCTCCTGAGTCCACCTGTCTGACGGTGTCTGAACTGCTGCTGTGAGATCAGAGTCAACAGAAGGACTTCAGTGTCTCTGTGAGTCTCTGTGAGTCTCTGTGAGTCTCTGTGAGTCTTCGGCCGTCTCTCTCTGCTGCTCACTCTGAGTGTGTCGGCTGCAGATCAGTGAATATATAGAGGAGCTGCAGGAGGAGGGACTACAGGCTGCATCTAATCTGCAACACACACACACNCTGGTTCTTCTGGCCTCCCGGTTCTTTCTGACTCTGGTTGGGTGTTAGGACAGTGATGGTGGAGAACCTGGGCATGTTCTATGTCTCTCTGTCTCAGAGGTACGTTGAGCTTGGGGAACATGGCGGCAGGTCGGCGGCCCGCGGCGCTGCCCGGTCAGAGAACCTGTGACTTCAGTCCTCATCCTTTGAAGAATGTGCCTCTGTGTGGAACAATGACTGGGCTCTCTAAGAGGTTTACGGGCTTTTTTCCACCGGTGCTCCTGTTTCCGAGCCCTCGCTGACCCGCAGCAGCTTCCGGTTCCATCTGGACCAGGAGTAACTCTGCTCACAGGTGTCTGAGGTGAGCAGCAGCTGGTCGATGTGGGTTCATGCACAGCTGAGTGTGTTGCCATGACAGCGGATGTGATGCTGCAGATAGACGTTGATCTGAGGATCAGCTGGGCTCAGACTCAGTCCTTCTCCTGGTTCAGCTGGTTTCACTGTATTTACTGCTGAGTCATGGTATCAGTCATCTTTAGTCCAGTCCAGTGACTTCACAGATTTAAATATTATCCAGAGAACTTCCTGATCACGGTCTTTCTAAAAGACGTTATCTCTAAACAATGACAGTCAATCAGCCAGACAGGTTTTAAACTTTCTGACAGTCCTTGAACACATCATCTGCCAAGAATCAACCAAATCATAAAACATTTCATCAAAACAGTTTAGTCTACACTGCTGTACAAACCAGAACCTTCCTAAGTGCAGCATGGATCAGAACCAGAGAACAGAGGAGCCAAGTGTTGGAGATACATTCAGCATGGAGGAACATCTT